TTAGAACTAATAAATGAATTCAGTAAAGTTACAGGATATAAAATCAACATAAAAAAAAAACCAGTAACATTTCTATATACCAAAAACAAACCATCCAAAAAACAAAAACATTCCCGTTTACAATAGGTACAAAAAAATTTAAAATATTTAGGAATAAAGTTAACCAAGGAGGTAAAAGATAGCTACACTGAAAACTATAGAATGTTGATGAAAGAAATCAAAGAAGACACAAATAGATATCCCATGTTCATGGATTGGAAGAATTAATATCATTAAAATGTCCATATAACCCAAAGTGATCTACAGATTCAGTATAATGCCTATCAAAATCCCAGTAACATTTTTCACAGAAACAGGAAAGAACAGTCTTAAAATGCATGTGGAACCACAAAAAACCCTGAATAGTCAAAACAATCTTGAGCAAAAAGTACATAGCTGGAGGTACCACATTTCCTGACTTCAGAATCTACAACAAAGCTATAATAACCAAAACAGCATGATACTGGCATAATAGACAGACCAGTGGAATAGAATAGAAAGCCCAGAAATAAATGCGTACATTTATGGTCAATTGATTTTTTTAACAGACATACCAGTAATAAACAATGGAGAAAGGATAGTCTTTTTAAGGGTGCTGGAAAGACTGGATGTTCACATGCAGAAGAATGGAATTAGATTCTCATCTTACACCATACACAAAAAATCAAGTCAAAATAAACTGAAGACTTAAACATAAGGCCTGAAACTGTAAAACTACTAAAAGAAAATAGGAAAAACTTCATGATATTAGTCTGGGTGATGATTTTTTGGCTATAACCTCAAAAGCGTAAGTAACAAAAGCAAAAATAGATAAATATCAAACTAAAAAGCTTCTGCACAGCAAAGCAAACATAGAGGGAACAAACAAGGAATGGGAGAATATATTTGTAAAACATACATCTGATAAGCAGTTAATATCCAAAATATATAAGGAACTCAGACAACTCAATAGTAAGAAAACAAATAACCTGATTTAAAAATGGGCAAAGGATGTGAATAGACATTTATCAAAAGAAGACATACAAATGGCCCAACAGGTGTATGAAAAAATGCTCAACATCAGTAATCATCAGGGAAATGCAAATTAAAACCACATTAAGATATCACCTCACATCTGTTAGAGTAGCTGTTATCAAAAAGATGAAAGATTCCCTTGAGCCCTGGTCAAGACCAACCTGAGCAACATAGTGAGACACCATCTCTAAAAAAATTAAAAAATTAGCCGGGCATGGTGGCACATGCTACTCTAGAGGCTGAGGTGGGAGGATCGCTTGAGTCCAGCAGTTGCAGTGAGCTATGATTGTGCTACTGTACTCCAGCCTGGGTGACTGAGTGAAACCTTGTCTCTTTAAAAAAAAAAAAAAAGACTTGGGCATCTATGGAATTTTAAAAGTTAACAACTATCCAGTATGCTAGCTTTTAATAAAAGATTTAATAACATGACTAGAACAAAAGCTGAAAATAAAAATTGAGGCATTCTTTATTTAAAATATGAGGATTATTTGCTATGTCTAATTTTGAAGAAAATATGTGCATGTAGGGGTATAGTATGTATGCATATTTCTTTGCTTTTTATGAAGAATTTCAAACATACAAAACAATGTATAGAGAAAAGTCCTCCAATACCTTCACCCATTTCCTTTCTTGAGATCTAGGATTTCAAAATAAATCTT